AAGACCAGATGTATCTCAATTAAACTGGCTATTTGGGACCTTTAAGGGAGATGAAAGTTCTATGAATACCTTTTCTGAGAGACTAGCATCGTGTATTTTGAGAAGTAAAATGTGTCTTGGTAATTATCAGTCATGTCTGTAACCCCAAAAGTAATAGTGTGTCCTGGCAAGGCTTTGTATTGTGGCCTTAATACATTGAAGATGTGTGATTTTATTTATATTTTGGATATCTGGGAGGCAAGAGTCCCACAGTTGGTTTTTTCTATTCTCCTGAAAGGGGCAATTTTAGGCAACGGCCCAATTGTTTATAATAAACATGAAAAAGGGGCTACTTGTTGGCCAGGACATCCAGCACTAAGATGACTGCCTAAAGTTTGCCAAGTGTGTTTTTTCTTGGTTCCCATCCTTTATTAAGGACATCCTGGCTAAGATGAAAATCTGCATTCCACTGAGCTCCATCATGTATGATGGTTAGCTGTGCTGTGTACATAGTCTATGTACTCCCATTGCTATTCATTCAGTGAATCCCAAGTGGCTTCCCAGGTAGCCATGTGGACTAGGGGTGGCATCCTCTAGTACCATGGCATCTGGCAAGAAACAGAGGACAGGGAAAACCACATCCTCCTGCTGGTGGAATATGCCAGAGAGCACATGTTTGGCTCCATCCTGTCTTAAAGAGGCCTCAGGAGCTATGCTGCCTTTCTGATGTTCAGTTTCCATGACCTACAACTAATAGGCAGCTGGTTATGGAAGGTCACAGCAAGAGCCTCTGTTTTCCAGAGAACCCAGCATGTACTTCATTTGTTGTTTTAACAGAGTACAGAATGAGGCTAACAAGGGCAGTTTCTTACATCAGAAGCCCTTGGGTAACTTATAGCCATCCTAAGTGGTCCAGAGACTCCAGGAGGCAACAAGAGGTAGCCAGTCTCTTGAGCGGTCTAGCAGGAGTGCCTGTTGATTTTAATTTGGAAGTAAAAATTGTAAATAAAGATAATGTCATCAGAACCCCTTAAGTACTAAAAGATATTGGACCTGTAGATCCTAAATGATTTTATCAAATGAATCTCCTTGGAGGAGGATATCATCCATGTAATGTCATACCTGTTTCTGGAAGAAGGTGGATTCAGTGGAGATCCTATCTGCAAAGAATGTGTGCAAAGCTGAAGTACCCAATGGGTAGCCTGGAAAAGGTGCATTGTGTCACTTTGAGGTGAAGATAAACTGCAGCTAAGAGGCTGTTGAAATAAGTACTGAACAGAACACGTCAGCCAAATCTACAAGAGCAAAATATGTACCAGCTGTTGATTGAACAGAGTCAGTAATTTTAATAATATTGGATACTGGGTATGAGGGCCACAATGGATATCAACATCATAGTGATCCATCATAAGGGTCCTTTTTATCTTTTTGTTATATAAATTAATTTGTATGTTAATCTATAATAATAAAAACATAGTATGCTAATTAGACCAACATCCTTCTGGACGAAGCCAGGGCTGCGAGGGAAGCCTGGGTCCTGGGTGCCAGAGGGAAGCCAGTGCCGGCAGCTGAGGGAAGGAAGGCCTACTCTTGCACGAATTTCGTGCATCGGGCCTCTAGTATAAAAGAAAATGAACAAAACCTTCCATTTGGTTGATCCTTTCCAAACAAATAAAAGCCCTGAATAAAAAAGGCTTAGCTTCTTACCAACCTACTATTCTGCCACCTACTAATCTGCCGTCCGCAGGCCGAGGCTCTATCCACTGAGCCAAACCGGTTTCGGCAGTAAGGCCTACTCTTGCACGAATTTCGTGCATCGGGCCTCTAGTTTAGTATAAACATTTTGGGCTTCTAATTGGATCAAATTATAAAATTTTGTTATTATATATGTATTTATTACTTAATTGCCTTTTATTTTCTCCCCTTGTAGCTAGGGGTCTGATTTTGTTTGTTTTTAAATCAGTAAGTAACCTAGGATTAGAACTATGTTTGCTCAACTGGCATTTTCCTATTGCCTAAGATTTAAAGTTCCTGTTTTTCCCTTTGGGCTTATAGTCATCAAAAGTAGCCATCTTTTTTCCTTTGTTTTCTTCCTTTTTCAGGCTTTTGCTTCTGAAAGTGCAGCACATCTTTACTTTCTTTATCTGGCTGGTAAGAGGGAAAGGGGAGAGGCTGAAGGAGCCAGGTACCTCTAGGCAACCTCTCACTGGGAAGACATGACTCCTATCTACAGAATAATCATCTCTTCCTCATACCCTGCCTTTTTTTTTTTTTTTTGAGAGAGAGAGGAAGAGAGAGAAACATCAGTTGGTTGTTTCCTGCACATGCCCCAACTGGGGATCAAGCCCGCAACTGAGTATAGGCCCTTGACCTGGAATCAAATCAGTGACCTCTGGGTACATGGGACGACACTCCAACCAACTGACACTCCAGTCACAGGGATAGGCCAGGGCACCCCACTTTTTTTTTTTAACAAAGTATTTTACAATGGCTTGTATTTCTAGGCAGCTAAACTTTTTCCTTTTGGATGTTTACCTGATAAGCTTCTGGTGGTGCCAAGTGGCCTTTGCTGTGAGCTGTGCCCCCTTCCCTAGAGTGTCCCAATCAACCTTAGGCGAACTAGGAAAGCAATGGTGGCATCAGCTCTATTTGTGCATGAGACCCTTTGCATACTGACAAGCAGCAGCTCTTAGGAGAACCCATGCACATGTGGCAGAAGAAGTAAGGGAGTGGAGGGAGGAGAGGGGTTTTCATGAAATGACAGCATGTTGAATATCCTGTTATGTGTAATAGAGAGATGCTTGGAAGAATGCCACTAAAATGTCAGTGGTGGTTATCTCAGTTAGTATAATTCTGCATGACCATCACATTTTTTTGGTAAATTTTTTATGTTGCATGAATTTTTTACAATGAACATGTATACCGTCATCTCCTGGTATTTGTAGGGAATTGGTTTCAGGACCCCCCATGAAAACCAAAATCTAAGGATGCTCAAGTCCCTTATATAAAATGGTATAGTACACACATCTTCCCATTACTTTAAGTCATCTCTAGATTATTTCTAATACCTAATGCAATGTAAATGGTTGTTATAATGTATTCTTAGGGAATAATGACAAGAAAAAAACTGTATGTGTTCAGTACAGACACAACCATCATAGGCCTAATTAGTAACTATGTTAGTAACAATGTAACTTTCTTTTTTGGGGAATATTTTTGATTCACAGTTGGCTGAATCTACTGATGTGAAACCCAGAGATGTGGAGAACGGACTGTATTTATATAACTAGAAAGAAGCTATACACTCTCTTGGGTTCTGACCTAGTTTGCAGGGACATTGCTAAACGCACCAAAAAGGTCAGAGTCGTTGATAAATATGGGACCCGTTATGGTGCCTCCCTCAGGAAAATGGTGGAGAAAATTGAAATCAGCCAGCACACCAAGTATACTTGCTCCTTCTGTGCAAAACCAGGATGAAGAGGTGAGCTGTGGGGACCTGGCATGAGAACAGTAGCTGGTGGTGCCTAGCCCTACAACACCGTTTCTGCTGGCACAGTGAAGTCTGCCATCAGAAGACTGAAGGAATGGAAAGGCCAGCAGAAGCTGCACAATTTGAAACATTACTAGCCTATAATAAATGGGTTAATTTATGTTTTTTTAAAAAAGGAAGCAATACAGTTATTTGCAGTTTGAAGGAAGATTTATTTTTTTCTTAAAAGTAAAAAAAAAAAATTCCAATTTCAATAGCATTCTCAAAAGTCATAAGCCTCCTATCCTCACCAAGGGGAGCGGGGAAGTGAGAGTAATAGCTTAAGAAAATCAACAATAAAGTAAATGTATATAAAACATCTGTCCAGAATGGTTTAATGTGAGGTCTAGCACTTACACACTCAAAAACTCAACAACTGTATACTTGATATTCAAGCTCATAAAAACTTCTTTTACATGTTTCTTGCTGATAAGAACCAGGAAGAAAGGAAATACAAGATTAGCTTTATGATAATAACTTATGGGTTGACACAAAAAAGAGTAGACAGTAAACTAGAAATTTTATGACATTTCACGTTTAAGCCTGGTTCCCTGTCAGGAAATTTTCTGTCTTGATGAATGAAGTAGAACTTGGTCACATCTTAACAAGATTCAGAGAAAGGAAGTTCAAGTGTGAGTACAAGCTGCCATCTGCTGTGTTAAAATAAAGGCAACACGGGATTTTCCCCAAGTTAAAAAAATTCCTGTGGTGCACTTTTTGGATTATGGGAAGAACTGAATCCAAAAACATTTAACATAAAGCTAGACAACAGTCAACTAAATGAAATCACTACAAAAACCAACTACATGAATAAGAAAGAATAAAACATTTTTATGCTAACTTTTCAACTATTATTTTTGATATAGTCATCCTCAGTAAAACTGTCCTTGAAAGTGAAAATTAACAGACTGATGGTGTAGCCAGTAGAAAGTCAGTGCTGTTAACCACCAGTTGCTCATCCTCAGAGAAAGCATCACACAGTCCGCTCAAGACCCCACATGGGGTGCTGTGACTTATCTCCTTGTACTATAGCAATAGGGGCTGCCCTAGGTCACAGCAATTGGGATCAAGAGATATGTTTTGATTACATATACTATATAGAAGTCTGTTTTAGGATTTCATGAAAATACTAACCACATATTTTGGTTGTTGTTAATCCTCACCTGAGGATATTTTTCCATTTAATTTTAGAGAGAGTAGAAGATAGGGGCAGAGACACAGAGAGAAACATCAATGTGAGAGAGACACATCGATTGGTGGCCTCTTGCCCACATCTGGACCAGGGCTGGGGATCTAGCCTGCAACCAAGGTACATGCACTTGACCGGAATTAAACCCATGATTCTTCAGTCCAAGGGCTGACGCTCTATCCACTGAGCCACACCAGCTAGGGCAATACTAATCACATTTTAAAATATGAGGAGAAAAATCATCCAAATTCAGAGCTAATTTAGCTATCACTGAACAGTTAAAAAAAAAAAAAACTATAACAGTCCATTTTAAAATTTTCATTAATAGAGACACAAAGGTACTTAGGATTGACATTCATCCTTCCTCATCGCTGCTGCTCCAGGCATCTTCAAATGCTGGATTTAAATGTGATCTGGTTGAGGTCTAAAAAGGAGGGAAAGAAAGATTTGATTAATCTATCTCATGATTTTAGGTTCACAATATAGTTATGAAATATATCAGATAAAAAACAATTAGATATTTTGAAAGAAACAATTGTTAATTATAAAACAAAGGTAATGTAAGAAACACCCCACATACTATCCTATCTAATAAGGAGTAATATGCAAATTGACCATCACTCCAATACACAAGATGGCCACCCCCATGTGGTCAAAGATGGCCACCACAAGATGGCCAGCAGGGGAGGGCAGTTGTGGGTGATCAGGCCAGCAGGGGAGGGCTGCTGGGAGGGACCAGCCCTGCAGGGGAGGGCAGTTGAGGGTGACCAGGCCTACAGGGGAGGGCAGTTAGGGGCAACCAGGCCTGCAGAGGATGGCAGTTGAGGGTGACCAGGCCTGCAGGGGAAGGCAGTTAGGGGTGACCAGGCCTGCAGGGGAGGGAAGTTGGGGGCAACCAGGCCTGCATGGGAGGGCAGTTGGGGGCAATCGGGCTGGCAGGGGAGCAGTTAGGCGTCGATCAGGCTGGCAGGGGAGTGGTTGGGGGGCATCAGGCTGGCAGCCAGAAGTGGTTAGGGGCAATTAGGCAGGCAGGCAGGCAGGCAGGCAAGCGGTTGGGAGCCAGCAGTCCTGGATTGTGAGAAAGATGTCCGACTGCCTGGTGGGATCGGGTGTAAACGGGCAGTCGGACATCCCTTAAGGGGTCCCAGATTGGAGAGGGTGCAGGCTGGGCTGAGGGACACCTCTCCACCAGTGCACAAATTTTGTGCACCAGGCCTCTAGTATAAGATAATGTAATTTCATTTTAAATAGACATACCAGACTTTATCCAAATTATCTACGTTTCCCTCAAAGCAGGTACCTCACAACACATACATAACATGTGAGCTCATGAGAGTGTGTGCATGGGCACTCGTGCGCCACACACACACACACACACACACCATGATGCTATTGCTTAATGTATTTCTGCAACTCTTTGGAATTACCTGGAGAAAGTAACAAATTACCATCCATATAGCTAAGACTGAAATCAGGTCTATAGTCTGACTAGACAACTTTATATTGTTTGGATGGACCTGACTTTTATAAATAAGCAAATATCCAAAAATGAAGAATAAAGTATTCATCAACCTGAGTAATACCATTTTGGGTTCAAAAAGTAATTTGGGCTACTAAGCTGTGAGGTTTATTTATTTATTTTTTTATGGTTGGTAAAGGGGTTCAGAAGCAATGCAAAAATGTGTCAGAAATGGTAACATGTTTGTCATTAGCACTAGGTTTCCCTGGGAGTTTTCTTGGAAAGATAACATGCATTTGGGTGATGTTTATTTAAAACGATAAAACATCACAGTATTCTTACAACTTTAGAGTCATACCTAATAAAGGTAATCAGCAACTAGAGGAATTTTAATTATTTGTGGTATTTTTAAATCAACTCACTTTTTTAGGAAACATTTTAAATGGTTACCTTCTTATTCTCTGGCAAATGACTGAAGGGCTTTAAGATGGTCTCATTTTTTATTTTATTTTTGAGTGTCTGGGCATTATGAGCCAGGTTTACTTCTTATTCTGCAGCTTTTACATTTGCTACAAGACCCCAAATTACCACCAAGACTACTCAAATTATCTTACATGTATTGCTTTTTACAACATACAGCAATATTTTATGATAAGGGTAATCCCTAGTGTATGTCTGAGAATGTTCATTTCCTTTTTGATGACCAGGATGACATAATTTTATAGTTCAAACAACGATAATGGTAGAAAAAGTAGACATTCCAGTAAATACCCAAAGTATCAGCCAGGATGGTTGTAAAACAATATATTAATTTAGGTATTCTTTATGGCTGTCCTATAGCTCAGAGTCTATTACTAACCTAATGTTGGCTATTGTCACTATTACTAAACCTAATGCTGACTGTCATCACTTAGGTATACAAACGAAATTCCATTGTACCTCAAATGTCCAGATACCAAACTATTACCAAATTTCAGCTAACTATTCACTTATTCCTCACAGCAGTCCATGTGTTTGCAAGAGTAGCATACTGAACTGTATTCATTTATTCTTTCATCCAAATGTCTACTGGGTTTATAACTTAACTACTAGGTTATCTAGTGAGAGTTTATTCAAAGATGCATTGTCCTTAAGGGCAAGGTGATTCCTCGTCCCTACTCTATCTTTGGAAGTCTTTAACTCTGCCTTACACATCTACCAAAAACATCCCTAGTTGGATAAAGCATATAAAGGTCATGCCTCCAAATTCCATTATGGAAGACCATTATGTAACCTATTAAACATTTAAATTTCATTTGGAGACTCAACAGACAAGTAAAATTATATTTTACTATATATTATTTTTGAGCAAAGAAACAAAAATAATTAAGTGAAAATTGAAATGTAGTTGTATATAAATGTTACTGTTTATAGTAGTAACAATATAGTAGTAACATTACTTCTTATACTGTAATGTATTATAGGAAGTATATTTTATTGCTAAAAATCACAAATAAAACATCATACTCATAGTTAAAAGCTGCAGTAAAAATATGTATGGATGTGGTACACATATTATTGGCATGGGACCCACTGATCAAGTGTAACTACCAACAGTTTTCTCTACAACATCTCCTCCTAGTGGACATCCTTTCTATGCTTGAACATCTCTACCTTACCAGGTTGCCTGTTCTATTGACAGATAATTGCAAATGTCATGGAGATCGGAAAGCATGAGTTTAGAGTGGATCTAATCCAGGTCCAAAAACTGGGAAAGAAGAACAGAAACAAGCATCTACCACACATACATCTTGATAAATCCTAAATTTCTTAATGGTCATTACTGGAAAGTCTTCATAGGTAGAATATAGGGTTGTTAGTGTCAGCAAGTAATTATACACTTGCATAAATGATAAATAAAACAGGTCTGTATTGTGTGACCCAAAATGAAGTAAGATTCTTGGTGAGAGGTCAGATTTAGACTGTAATGTAGCTGACTTACAGATTTCAGAAAGGAAAAATTGATTAAGAGTTACATAGGCTTGCTTTGACCACAACTATTTTAGGAAGAGGAGGCCAAAAGAAGGCAGATTACTGATATAATAAAACAGCCTGTCAATTAAATAACAGGATTTATACTTCAAAACCATAAAATTTGTTCCTATTACCCAATACCCATCAAGTTTCTAATGCAGAACTAAATTCCTCCCCTATCTAGGATTTCAGAAGAAACACCCATAATGGATTATATCTTGGTTGATGGGGAAGTAAATCTCACCTAAGGGTGAATCTGAAAGGGATCCTAAAAACGATTTTTGCTTTAATGATATAAACTTGTCTCAGACCACTAATAAATGGCAAAATGGGGATTCAAATCCAGTTACCTACCAGTTTTATTATTACTTAATTTACCTGGAACTAAAGACTAAGTGAGTGTGTGTATGTGTAGTTGCCTCTCTGGGAAACTGCAGGAGTTATTTATTTTATAGTTGAGATGAAAAACATTTAAATATGAGTTAAACAGTAAATATACATGTCAGGAACAGAGTCTTGTATAGACGCACTTCTCCACTGGGTATCTGTAAAATGATCACATTCATGTTCTACCTACATTCACAGAAATCTTCCAAACTAAAGTTTTGTGAAAATAATCTTAGCACATACCATTTTATATTAATATGAGAATGATTGCTATCTTAAAGTAAAACAGTATATTTTGAAAGATAAGGATTTATAGCTCTAAAACAAAAATAAAGCTAACTTGTGTATCTCTATTTGATTTTCCCCTTATTCAGGTGAACTTCTCATATACAAAAATTTTTCTAGATGAGGAGTTCAAACTATGACTACATAATAGGGAAATAAATAATCATAATAACATGCTATCTTTATAAAATAAGCATTTTAGTTTTCTTCTTGTCCTTTTTCCAAACATACATCATAGTAGATTAACTTTTATTTTCATTTGGTAAGTAATTGTTAAACTTCCTAACTGGATCTATACTGTTTTAACTTGGATTTAAAGTATATAGTGATTTCCAAACAGCAGGACACAGTAATTAAATAATAATGTAAAATAAATGGCTGAATCAAATTACTTGGCCACATTAAGCTTTCTACAGAAGAATATTCAGTCACTTAAAGCTGCTATGCACTAAAACTAAACAGGGCCATAATAAACCAATTAGACGTGTGATGAAATCTGGAGGTATTCATACAGCATTTGGCCGGCCACTTGAAGATTTGTCATTGTCTTTTTTTTCTCTTTCATTTAGATTAGGGCCAAAATAAAATAATTAACAGGCAATAAGGGGATTAACAGTGCTTGGTAAAATAGTATCTTTGGTACGAAAGATATCACCTACAGATAGCTTGACATAAATGGCCGGTTGCTCAGTGGTTAGAGTGTCAACCCATGGACCAAAGGGTCTCGGATTCAATTCTCCATCAGGATTCAATTCTCTGTCAAGGGCATGAACCTCGGTTGCAGTTTCAATCCCTGGCACCTGAGGTCGCTGCAACACGCGGGAAGCAACCAGTCAATATGAGACACATTGATGTCTCTCTCACTTTTTCTCTTCCTCACTCTCCCTTTCTTCCTCTCCCTCTTCCTCCCGTTCACTCTCTCAAAAAATCAATGAAAAAAATATCCGCAGGTGAGGATTAACAACAACAGCAAAAAGTAAAAAAATACAGAGTTTACTACTTAAGACTAGGAATTCATCTTTGTTTACACATCACATTTTTAAGGCATTTTAGTCATACTGTCATATTTGTACCAATTTATGCTCTAAGATAGGAACTAACAGACTGCATGCTATGTAAATTGGTAAAATTTGACAGTGTGAAAAAAGAGCCTTAAAAATGTCACCTATTCTATCCAAAGAAGTAATCAGAAATATAAATAATTTATCAACAGATATTTACTTTGATTTGTTAATAATGATGAAAAGAAACGTCTATAAATGAGTAAATAATATCGGCCC